AGAATCAAATGGAAATTTGAATTGAACGCAGCTCGAGCGTGCTCTGAGCATAATCAAATGGAAAAGAAAATGGAAAATGAAATGGAAACTGGAATTATATAGGGGATGGTCTAAACTCGTAGTTTCCATTTTCTTTTCCATTATCCCTATATAGCCCCTACAGTATAATCCCCATATAATCCCATTATAGTAGTTTCCATTTTCTTTTCCATTAACCCTATGTTCCCTGTATGAACTATGGTCTAAACTCCTAGTATCCCCCTTCATAATCCCTATAGTACTACCCCTAAATAATCTCCTATATAACCCCCTTTGAGGAGTTTTGACTATGGTTCACATGCTTGCAAAGCAGTTTCTACACGAATCATCTTGCTGCGAAGTTGACGGAGCCCCCTTCACCCTGCTGATGTTGCTTGAAACAATTTTGCACAGGGGCAGTCCAATCCCAGATCCCAAGCCCACGACATACACGGAAACTAGAGACCCATGCGGGTGAGGCGTACTTTGCATATCAAATCCTTGATGAAGATGACTGCATTGCGGAATGGACATCTGTGGCTCGCTATGTTCCTTGAGCAAGAAGAATGCCAGAACAGTAGCAGAAATGATCAGACTGCGCGCTTTCTAGCATTGCTTCCAGGTGCTTAATCGCTAGATTCGCCAATCTACTCTTCAGGCGAATGGTCTTGGTCAATACCGCATGAACCAGCATGATGTGGATGCAAGACACGGTGAGGTTCGCCAGCCTACTGGAGTAAGCCGAAGAAAGAAAGGCCCCAAAACAAAAAGGCAAAGTGAACACTAGAAACTCTGGAGTCCCACGCCACATATAGACATAGTAGAGCAGCTTGACAGCGCAGCCTTTTCAACACCTACAGAAAACACTTTTGCGTCGTTCTCTGATCCTACCTGGCTCTCTTTGAGAGAAGGCAACGGGTGAGAAAAAGAAAGATCTCGTAAAGCAGAGCGCAGTCCTCGGCTTCCAGGCCCCAAAGAAATTCAATAATGAAAATAAGAACAACATTATCATGACAGTATTACAACGAAATAAAAATGGAATAAGGCTAATTAGCATAATGAAATATTAAAGAAGCATGAAAACCTATCCTACCAAAGCCGCAGAAGCTGATGTTGCTTTACAAGGGTCTTGCTTGATGTCTGCGAGGTCAGTCACCTCAGCTGGGGTTGTCATGTAAAATTCAGCTGAGCTAAAACTAATGTGGTACACGAGCTCAATCGCAAGATGTGCGAAAGAAGTAGGAAGCAAATGACTGTCTTGCCACCTCCCGTAGTTTTGAACGTGAGGTGTGTGGAATAGGAACCCACTGCAGAAATACAAAATGCGTGAGTGTGCCATGAGAGCTCTTGCCAACAGCATCGAGAACAACATAAATCCGTCTGCCGCTGCAACCTTGATGTGGAGAAGTTTCGAAGGTATAGATAAAATTCATAACAATACTAATCATAATAATAGTATTCCTCACAATAATAATACTAGAAATACTGATAGTGGTAATAGTAATAAGAGTGAAAATATTAACTAATAGAAATAATACTAATAATAATAATACTAGCTTCATTGCAGCTGGGGCCGACATCAGGGCTTGAGATCTTCAGGGGATGGCTTGGTAGGAAATTAGCCCTGCTACCATGTTATTATGGTTGCTGTTACTATGATTACTACTATTACTAAATGATATTATGCTATTGTTACAACTAGTATCATTGATATTATCACTACTAGTATAATTGTTGTTATTGCTACTATTACTATTATTGTCGGTCGGCTCTGGGTGCCAGGCGCAGGCGCTGGACACGTTGCCTTGCAGAATTTCTTGGGGTTATATTAGGGTTTATGTTGGGTTTATATAGGGTATATATTGGGTTATATTATTGGGTTTATATTTGGTTTAGATTGGGTTGATATTGGGTTGATATTGGGTTTGTGTTGGGTTATATTGTTGGGTTTATATTGGGTTTATATTGGGTTTGTCTTGGGTTATATTATTGGGTTTATATTGGGTTTATATCGGTTGATTTTTTTGGTCAACGCCAGCAGCTGGCGGGGCGTTCGGACACACCATGCCACTTTTCCTGACCCAGCCCGCTCCCCAAACAACCTTTGCCCTCAAGTCCCAATATGCCATAATATACTATACTGTACCATGATATACTCTAGTATACCAGAATATACCATACTATGTAATACTAGACCATACTATACTATAATATACTATAATTGCAGGCACAGTGGCCAAAGCGGCATTGACAGGGAATACCGACTCATCATGCTAAATCATAAAATTGATTCGTCCCTCCTACACACAGCTTATATCATAATGTAATATAGTATATTCTGGTAATTATATTAAAATATGTTCTAGTATATTATGGTATGTTATACTATTTTATAGTATACTATAATATATTACGGTATTTTATAGACTGCGTGCACAGTGAGCCTGAAATTGTCGACGTTGGTGTCCAAGCCGGATTTGATTGGCCTAAGCATCCGCCACACTCCCTACTTACTGGTGGCAAGTAGGGAATAAGGGAATTAAGGTTTAGGGTTTAGGGTTTAGGGAGATATAAATATATATATATACATACATAGGGATCATACTATTCTCTACTCAGCACCAGTAAGCCTGAGCCCATGAATACTGCACTACACCATAATATGTTATAATACACTGTAATATATCATACTATACTATAATATACTGTAACAAACTATAACATACTATAATATATTATATTTCATTATAATATACTAATTCCACATCCCGCACTGGGATCCCACGCAAACCAGAGGAGCCTGCTGGGCCATTCTTCGCGCGGAGGCCCTCACAAGCCAAGCATCCGCTACTATAACCCCTATATTATATATATATATATGTATTATATGTCTATATTATTCCATCTTATTACGATGTGGTAGCTTCCATTTGCTTTTCCACTATCCCTGTAAGCTTGACTAAATCAGATTCAGCTTCCTTTAAGGAGACTCTGCCGGGCTGACTGTGCAAGGAGCTTTCTTCATGCCAGGCCAGAAGGGCTCAGAAGTATCAGGTGCACAGCACAGCAAACGCAGCTGAGCAGTCTGCCGCAATCCAATTCCGCATCACCCTGCAATGCAGCAAGACAATAACTGCGCCCATGCTCTAAAAACTGGTTTTAAGCACATGAGGCGCACTGAAAGTGGAGAGGGGCACCACAGCGCCCACGTGAATGGTGTATAAAAGGGCAGCTGGTATAAAAGGGCAGCTGGAGTATTTTGGATCTACATCGGCCTCCTTACAGGATACACCGCTGATACCCCGCTCATAACTACCCACTATAAGCTGTCATTCAGATTCTAGCTTCATGATCGATGCTGCGCTAAGTGACCCAAACCCAGAGCAAAAGTTGCAAATACAGGTAAACAGCAAGCTGGCCCAGAAAAAAGCAATCATGGTGGATTATAGTCCTCCTGAAGTAGATAGAATATGGCTGTGGGTATTAAGATCCCCATATACCCTATATTCTATGTACTTGAGGGGACTAGATCCTGAGGCCTAAACCCTGAACCCTGAACCCTAAACCTTAAACCCTGAACTCTAATCCCTGAACCCTAAACCCTGAACCCTAAACCCTAAACGGCCCT